CTTTACCAAGAACTTTAACAAGCCAGGTCTTTACCAGCTTTAACTTTAACAAGCCAGGCCTTTACCAGCAACTTTAACAAGCCAGGTCTTTACCAGCAACTTTAAGAAGCCAGGCCTTTACCAAGTAACTTTAACAAGCCAGGTCTTTACCAGCAACTTTAAGAAGCCAGGCCTTTACCAGCAACTTTAACAAGCCAGGTCTTTACCAGCAACTTTAACAAGCCAGGCCTTTACCAGCAACTTAAACAAGCCAGGTCTTTACCAGCAACTTTAACAAGCCAGGCCTTTACCAGCAACTTTAACAAGCCAGGCCTTTACCAGCAACTTTAACAAGCCAGGCCTTTACCAGCAACTTTAACAAGCCAGGTCTTTTAGCAACTTTAACAGCCAGGTCAAAGCCAGGTCTTTAAACTTTAACAAGCCAGGCCAGGTCTTTACCAAGCAACTTTAACAAGCCAGGTCTTTACCAGCAACTTTACCAGGAACTTTAAAGCCAGGCCTTTACCAGCAACTTTAACAAGCCAGGTCTTTACCAGGTCTTTAACAAACCAGGTCTTTACCAGCAACTTTAACAAGCCAGGTCTTTACCAGCAAGCCACTTTTAACAAGCCAGGCCTTTACCAGCAACTTTAACAAGCCAGGTCTTTACCAGCAACTTTAACAAGCCAGGTCTTTACCAGCAACTTTAACAAGCCAGGCCTTTACCAGCAACTTTAACAAGCCAGGCCTTTACCAGCAACTTTAACAAGCCAGGTCTTTACCAGCAACTTTAACAAGCCAGGTCTTTACCAGCAACTTTAACAAGCCAGGCCTTTACCAGCAACTTTAACAAGCCAGGTCTTTACCAGCAACTTTAACAAGCCAGGTCTTTACCAGCAACTTTAACAAGCCAGGTCTTTACCAGCAACTTTAACAAGCCAGGTCTTTACCAGCAACTTTAACAAGCCAGGCCTTTACCAAGACTTATAACCTGCCAGGTCTTTACCAGCAACTTTAACAAGCCAGGCCTTTACCAGCAACTTTAACAAGCCAGGTCTTTACCAGCAACTTTAACAAGCCAGGCCTTTACCAGGAATTATAACCTGCCAGGTCTTTACCAGGAACTATAACCTGCCAGGTCTTTACCAGGAATTATAACCTGCCAGGTCTTTACCAGGAATTATAACCTGCCAGGTCTTTACCAGGAATTATAACCTGCCAGGTCTTTACCTTTACCATCACCATCAAACACACAGAATCTGGCACACAAAAAACCCCAAATAATTTGTTTGTCAAGACAGAAACTTGTAGACAAACATCCAAGAAAAGCTTGATAAAAAATTGCTCAAGTAAAAGAAACTTCATTATTAAATCTTTAACACTGGTATTTGCAGAACACCACCACAAAGGAATAAGTAGAAAAAACATAGGAATCGAATACAAAACATAGCCAGCGTCGGGTAACGTTCATCAGAAAATAAAACATTAACAAATACAAAGTATTACAACAATCCTAAAGACTGAAAATTTATTTTCCGTTAATCCCTAAATGATGGAACGGTCTCTCATTTCGACTTTCCTAACCATCAAACTACTGTTTGTTCTATCAACACCCCTCTGACTGAAACTCAACACATCTTATAATTGGACCTATTCAAACAGTAGGATAACATGTAATATTCATCATGTCAGAAACAGCTTTCAGTCAATTAGAATTCCAGCATTTCAGTCAATAAGAAATCCAGCAATGAAATCAGTTCCTGTCATCTTCATTTGAAGCTGGCTGGGGAAAAAAGCAGTTTAAAGGATAGCAGTATGTGTATAATTCAAATACACTGGGTCAGAACACTACCAACTAAACAGCCTCATTGCGGCTGTCGAGATTCTTTACAGAGCATATAATTCAATATGAACCATTGTCTGGCCGAACTCTGTACATTATTTCACCTCCTCCCCTGAAGGAAAACCGGACTAATCGATCTCGTCTCTTCTATGACCTCATCGCTAGTTCATATCCTGTTAGTTTCGAGGTCAGGCATTCGCCTCAAAGCTTTTCGTTCAATGTCGGCCTGGTCGTATCAAGATTGATTAGAAGAATCAATACCAACAGCATTAGTTCTTTCAGTTTCATTCAAATTCTTTACGACATCACAGTCCTAGTCCTGGGGACAAAAATCGGCGAATAATTTGTGTCCATTTTGCAGTGTCGACATGAGAACCTGTTGGAAGGACGCTAGCACACAGTTTCTGCTTGCATGCTGCTGCACAATCATGGCGGCGCACATTACGGCGGCAATAACCAAACTAATCACTTCTTTCAGTTCCTGTGAGTGGGAAGGAATCTGCAATACTGCTGATTGGGTTTGGTCATAAGTGAATGCAGAGCTTGCTTCTATTAACAGTGCAGCTTGGATTTAAATAAAGTCTTGATTAAAATCTGGTCCTTCAACCTTACAAATCATCAATTAACTTGAAATGTTTCAAACTAAAAATAGTCTGGGATAAATTTGTCATTATTTCCATAAACAAAATGACCGTAAAAGTCTTATAAAAATAAATGAGTTAAAGTCTTGAAAAAGCGTAACTTCTTTCGTAAGATGAAAGTTGTCCTCTTTTTAACTGATTGGATACGTCATTCCACGACTTGCTCTTTTTGATTTGAGCTACAATGTATGTTGAGCCTGTTTCTTGTAGTTCATCATAAGCCGTTATTTTTACGTTTTTAAAACATGTTCATGTTTGCTGTCATGTTTACATGACAAAGTGAGTGAGTGAGTGAGTATGGTTTTACACCGCTTTTAGCAATATTCCAGCAACATCACGGCGGGGGACATCAGAAATGGGCTTCACACATTGTGCCCATGTGGGGATTCGAACCCGGGTCTTCGGCGTGACGAGCCAACGCTTTAACCATTAGGATACCCCACCGCCCCCACACGACAAAGAGAAAATTGTCATGAGGTCAGGAATTGGTCATTCATGACACTTAGAACATGATCACATCAGCAAGAAATCTATAAAACACTAGTTATAGCAATCATGTAATAATCAAGTGACTTGTTTCCTGCAATGGGCATCACTGACATACAATTTTGATGCTACATGTAATGATTTCCATCAAATCCAAAAAAAACAAGGCAAACTACTTTGTCATTGTATAATACATACTCTATAAAACAGATGTATTTATGTAAGAAGAGTTGCATTTATTGTAAGAAGTAGATGTATTTATTACGAAAAATGTCTGTATGTATTGGAAGAAAACAGCTGCATTTACTGTAAGAAACAGCTGTATGTATTGTAAGATACAGCTCTATGTATTGTAGTGAGTGAGTGAGTGAGTAAGTGAGTGAGTGAGTTTGGTTTTATGCCTTTTTTCGCAATATTCCAGCAATATCATGTGGGGTACACCAGAAATTCTATGTATTGTAAAAAATGGCTGTATCTATTGCGTGAAATGGCTGTATTTTGTGTGTGTGTGTGTGTATGTGTGTACTAATGTACTCAAATATCGGGTTTATACTGTTAGTACTAAGATACCAACCTTCATATGTTTATATGATGCATATGATAAGAATTATGAATACATTAATATTATCTATGAAAAGTGGCGGTCTTTGATCAGCTGCTAATGACAGACATGGAATAGTCCAAGATCTGACAAAATGATCAATTTGTTTTAAATATATATATACCACTATACGCATCAAGAACATGTTAAACATCGATATCACTAACTACACGGCATCATGAATATATTAGCCATTACTATCTCTGACACCGGATACTGTCTTATGCTCTGTTATCAAATTCATGCATTCCATGAATATCCATGAAAGGTACCTCGCAAATTATTCACGAGATCCGGAATGATGACACTCATTCAAAACCATATATGCATGACGTTCATTCTTGGACGAAAATGCATGCGTCATAGGAGATAGCACTTTGTCTTAGCAATGCATCAGCATTCATGCATGAGTGAAAATCAGATACATGTCACGTGATATGAATATTGATCTGACGAAATACCATAAACGAGATTACTATACAGATTTGCATTCTCATATTTCCTCAATAACACTGCATAAATCATTACATTTCAAAGAACAAAAAAATACATGTAGAACATATTCAAAACATGTTTCATTATTTTCGTATTCTTGTGCATGAATGGGTGATCTAGCTGTCTGAGGTGCTGTAATCTGCTTGACAGAGTTACTTCCCTTGGGCAACATCAGGAATCTGTGATTGTGGGTTCGAGTCCTGGTTCACCCTAATGAGTGAGTGAGCCAGTGAGTTAATGGTTTTATGTCGCTTTTAGCAATATTCCAGCAATATCATGATGAGGGACACCAGAAATGGGCTTCACACATTGTACCCATGTGGGGAATTGAACCTGGGTCTGGAGTGAGATGAGCAAACACACTAGCGGACACCACTAGACTACCCCCCGCCCCTCACCCCTATAATGTTTCGTGGTTTGTCCGCACCATCCAAGGTTTGATCCAAACTGTAATCGCTTGATACCTGCACACTAAGAGTTTTTGTCCCACATTAAGCAGACACATTGTGTTAAGATTTACTCCCAACTCACTCACTTAATCTCATGTGTTAAAAAAAGAAAATATTGCTGGCGTCACCCTGCTGTGATACCGCTGGAAAATTGCGAAAAGCAGCAAAAAACCATACTCACTCATATGTTCAAAACTGTATTCATATAGCTTTGAGAACAATAAGTGTTATTCAATACAAAGAAAATATTTCTAACTTGAGGTTCAGTTTTTCATCTGTAAAAAATACATAACACAACACAAACATCATGGAGAAGCTTGGCGGATTGACGCACAAAAAAATATCATCACACCACTGACATTCTCTTGTAGATGCATTTGGAATGAATTTACATCCAGAATGTCTTTACAATTCATTCGCTCCTCAAAACCAAAAGAAGCATGGTTGAGCAATGTGTACACAAGAAGAGCAACTATCTACTCTAACTAGACAGAACGACATGTTACCTCGACGTAAGACTTGAGATGCAGGCCCCTGATCCCAGCCAGATGCCATGGCTTTTTCTACACAGACGAAAAAGAAACAAAAAATACAGTAAACAAACGCAAGCAGATACATACATACATGGTCAACAGATATCATTTCACACTTAACAAAGCATACTAGCAAGATGGAGGTTGTACACACGTCATGATGCAAAAAGCCAAGGTGCTAGCAAAGTTTTCGTAAAAATATATTTCAACTGATTTCATGAAATCATGTCATGATCCTTTATACAAACAGGATTTTATTTCTCTTTCATTTGAATACCCACATCATATATGACATATGTTTGATTGAAACTTGAAAAAATATAAATATTTTAAAATATTGTCTTATGACCCCTTGAATGAAAGGGAATTTTCTTCTCTTTCTTATGAATACCCACTTGAAAGACAAGTAATTCAAACTTCAAAATTTTTAATTGTAAAGTCTTAAGGTTTCCATACATATAAGTAAGTGTAGGAGTTCAATGACTGACATCAACCATATAGTTGTAATCATGTAAATTGTTAGTATATCTAAGGTGTTACATTATATACAGCTTGAAATATGCTACAGGCATATACATTATCATCAGCTTCAAATTAAACATATGACTAAACTCACAATAACCCTGGCAAAAGACAAATACGTTTTAATATAGATGGAATATTTTGAGCATAATAAGTTAAGGACATGTTCATCTGCCTCCCTGCCAAACAGTCCGCATGCTTTTATTGTGTGGTCCTATGATGAAGAAGTCCTTCATCATTGGATGTTCTGCATTAATATCCTACCAACCATTGATCGTTTATCACATCTATGGATGTGTATGTACACAGACACCATGAATAATTCTTTTGTAAACGAAAAAAATCTAACAAAATAAATAAACAAGACTCAGGATTTTGAAAATCTATCTATCCTTCCATATATTAAGGATCATCATATTTATTGAACTTTAATGTTCTAAGATGCCATGCATAGTTCATTTTAACAAAAAAGACCCCCCACTCGATTTTGAAAATATATGCATCCTACCAAACAGTAAGGATTATCAGATCTATGGAAGTTTAATGTACTCAGATGCGTGAATAGTTCACTTAAAGAAAATAAATTAAAGAATATAATAATGTCACAATTTGAAAATGTTGGATGAAAACAAAATTATCCATAGATGCCTTTAGAAGCTTCTGTGGAATGTTATCAAACCAACTTTAATAAGTTGGGTTTTTTGATATATACAAATATTTGATGTTCGTATAGTTTTCCATATATGCAAAACATGTTCGGTGAATTTACATATATAATCACTGCAAGAAACACTTAATAAAAATATTCACTGATAGAAATGATACATTTAAACTATAGTTTAACATAACCTAGTCCAAAACAAAATATTGTTTATTTTCTTGGTGTATATTTTTCAACAAAATCAACAGTAAATTCAGATATAGGCAGATGTTTGATTTACCAGCTTAGTATATAATCAGCAATGGTATATATAATATAAAAATGGGATCACAATATTAAAAAATCGTATGATCCTTAATATGTTATGAGCAGTATATGCTAGTACCTGTACATAAGGCTATTAAAAGGAAAATAACATTTATAAAAACAAATAATTTTCTGGGTCATGCACTGGCCAAGGTCAGGTAAAGATGAAAGAAAACAAACTTTTAATAATGGACAAGCCCTGTCCACAGAAAATTAAAAAGAAAGAATTTTTTTGTGAAATCAAACCAAAAGGATTGAAATGAAAATGAAAATGAAAATGAAAATGAAAATGCATAGCAACAATGATACGAGTCAATGCGACATTGAACATCGAACATTGAAACATACAAATGCAATAAATCAACAAAACTGCACAAAGGACCCTTCTCGATGTTGTGTTTATACATTTACTATAACGCAGAACTGGATGGAAGACTTGTGTTGTAGCGGTAGTTGAATAAGCAGTAACATTAGTTGTGGTTGCATAAATAGTAGCAGTAGGAGTAGTGATGGCAGTAGTAGTAGTAGTAGGAGTAGTAGACGACATAGAAGCAGCAGTAGTAGTAGTAGTAGTAGCTGTAGTAGTTGTAGTAGTTGTAGTAGTAGTAGTAGTAGTAGTAGTAGTAGTAGTAGTAGTAGTAGTAGTAGTAGTAGTAGTAGTAGTAGTAGTAGTAGTAGTAGTAGTAGTTAGTGGTGGTCCGATTAATTGAAACAAGAAGACAAAGTCATCAATATCCCCCGCAATGGCAAAATACTCTTCATGATTATGTCTACGAGTTATGATTATGTCAAATATTTAGGTGTGTATATAGAAAAGTGGAAGGAGAGTATTGAAAGGTTTTTGAAGTTCTGCTCCAGAAAGGAGCACTATTACCAATTTCAGTCTAAGTCAAAGTTGTTGCCATGGAAACGCCAAAAATATTTTATTCAGAATTCCAAAACTACCAAAAGGCACCAGTACACCACCATACCAAGCTATGTGCC